TGCGTCGGTGTGTCAGCGTTACACCCAAGATGTCAGGCCAGACCGAAGGCGCCAAGAAGACTCTGGATGGGGTTGTCAGGAACGCTGCAGGATGAGGGACCGCATCCCCGCGAGTACACGTAGCCGTCACGTAGTCGTTCAACTGACGGCCGAAGTTACAAACGTTCCGCATCGGCTCTCCGGCGTGAGCCGCGACCCGAAGTGACATGTCCTTCGACTCCCGGCCAGGTGCTGATCAACAGACAAACGAGGAGGATGACGATCGAAGCTGCTCCTCTCATCATGTGACGGTTGGGAGAGCCCGCCACCGTAGTTGGCGAGGGCTTCAGAGCTGTGTACTGCAGAGAGATGCTCGCCGTCGTGTTTGATGAGGGCTTCAGAGCTGGGTACTGCAGATGATGCTCGCCGTCGTGTTTGGTGTGGGCTTCAGAGCTGGGGACTGCAGAGGAATGCTCGCCGTCGTGTTTGGTGAGGGCTTCAGAGCTGGGTACTGCAGAGAGATGCTCGCCGTCGTGTTTGGTGAGGGCTTCAGAGCTGGGGACTGCATAGAGATGCTCGCCGTCGTGTCTGGTGAGGGCTTCAGAACTGGGGAGTGTAGAGGGATGCTCGCCGTCGTGTCTGGTGAGGGCTTCAGAGCTTGGGGCTGCAGGGGGATGCTCGCCGTCGTGTCTGGTGAGGGCTTCAGAGCTGGGGACTGCAGAGAGATGCTCGCCGTCGTGTGTGGTGAGGGCTTCAGAGCTTGGGACTGCCGGGGGATGCTCGCCGTCGTATCTGGTGAGGGCTTCAGAGCCGGGGCTGCAGAGGGACGCTCGCCGTCGTATCTGGTGAGGGCTTCAGAGCTGGGGACTGCAGGGGAATGCTCGCCGTCGTATCTGGTGAGGGCTTCAGAGCTGGGGACTGCAGAGGGATGCTCGCTGTCGTAGTTGGTGAGGGCTTCAGAGCTGAGGGCTGCAGAGGGATGCTCGCCGTCGTAATTGGTGAGGGCTTCAGAGCTGGGGGCTGAGGCGTGGACGACCTGATGCAGGAAGCTGGGTCCGTCCTGGTCTGAGCCTGCTACTGAGCGAAACCGGGAACTGGTCGATGAGGTTAGATCAGCTGCACTCCGTGTCTGTGTGGCAGGAAGCTCAGGTGTAGAAGGCTGGTCACTGTTCGCCGTCTTCGTTGGTAAGGGCTTCGGAAGACGTAAGTGGGTCTGCATGCTCGCCGTCTTTGCTGGTGAGGGCTCTGGAGCATGGGAGTGGGTGTACATTCCGGCCGTCTTCGCGGGTGAGGGCTTCGGAGCGTGGGAGTGGGTGTACATGCCGGCCGTCTTCGCTGGTGAGGGCTTCAGGGCATGTGGGTGGAGGCACGCGCTCGCCGTTTTGTCTGGTAAAGGCTTCAGAGCGGGTGGGTGCTGAAGGGGGTTCGCCATCTCAAAGGGTGGGGGATTTGGATCATGATCTGAGGAACACGAGTCTGTTGCTGAGGCAGTCAGTTGTAACAACGGGCTAGGTCTGCGTGTGACGTTTGCAGTCATCACTAGTGGGGATTGACTGGCGACGCCCGCTGTAGAAGGCATCTGCGTAGTCCTATGTCCATTCAAAGTCGATGCCGGGTTTATCAGTTCTGAAGTCTGGACTGGGCCTAGTCAGGCAAGAGTGTCCCTTGCGGCTGCGTGGTTGCCCTGTCGGCCGCGGTCCCGGTTATAAGGACAGAACTTGGCAGGGTGTCCAGCATCAACCCCAGGTCTGTGTCTGGCACAGAACTTGCAGGCATGGACGTGAAGGGTACCAGAAGCAGCTATGTGATCTGCAGATAAGGCGCAAATTGTTGGCCTGGAATCTGTAGCAATACGTGCTTCCAGACGCCCCTGCTCTCTCAACTGGTGTGGCATG